AAATGCAATTACATATTTTCTACTCGCAAATTATTCTCATCTGCTTTATCTTTCCATGATTAATATATCTGATATAAATATCATATGAATGACGTCAAGGGAAAATGGGACTTCAATTATATAAGTTTTATATGATTGAAGCTCCATTTTTCTTTGGCGTCGCTCGTACATGTATTATATTATTTTTAAGAACCGGATATGCTAAAGATTATTCCGTTAACCAAATTTATAATCCAGTTATCATATCTTAGGGTGCGACCACTATAGGTTAATTCATTGGATGGATGTGATTTGAATTAAATGGAGTTTTTAAACCGGGTTAGTAATGCATCGTCTCTAGGGTTACTTTTAAATTTTCGTTAATAGTAAATCATTAACGTTAATAAATTATATATTAAATATTTAAGGCGAGACCTTCGTTAATAAATTATTTATTACTATGGTGATGTTACTTATATGCATGTTTAATTTTATTGATGGTTCATTTTTTTTTAAAAAAAAACTGCACAACAATTCTATAAAAAATTATTCAAATCCAAATTCTACTTAGCAAGTACTTCGGACACATACCAGTTTTACCACAAAATCCAGAAAAACAGATCCCCAAAAATTAATTGCCGTGCTTCGTATGATACATATTTAAAGTCCGCTATTATGATTACTAATCAACGGAGTTTAAATATGCACCACGCAACGCGAAATTAATTTTTGGGAATCTTCGGGATTTCGTGGTAGAACCGCACATGCATGACACTATTTAAACCATAATGCCCGCACCTGGCAACTGCAGAGCTCAAGTGATAGCACTATGGCAGTTGTTCCGTTCTAATAATCGCTTAACTCTTCAGAAACTAACGTCGATACCTTCGGAACCTCGGTTCAGAGCTTATTTATGAGATTAGTCATGAAAGACATTAAATTCGCAGAATACATTTGCGAATAATAATTTTAGTTAAGCAATACAGCAATAGGATGATGTGCACCCAGAAAATCAGCGAGATTGCAACAGGTATCATTGTAAGAGTAGAGCGTGCAAGAAACAGCATACAACGTGTTTTCTGCCTGCTCGAGGCAGGATCAGGAAACTGCAATGTAGTTGGATGGACTGAATCGAGAAAATAGACAGATGTGTAACTTATAAGTATTGGAGGGATTTCTTACCGTTCTTCACACCGATGGGTTTTCCTTACTTGACTTGCATGGAAATTCATATGGTTCAGTTAATTTATTCGAGCATCCTTTCTTTCGATCAGTTGACTCTGGTGCTTTATTAGAAGTGAGAGCTTAAGAACCGTTAAAAGTTGCTTCTTAAAACCGATTTGAAATAAGGCTGACCAGTGAATCAAACAGAAGGTTAACATGTGTAAAGTTGCACTTATGCGATAGTGATTAGACCCGGGTCACCCGCGGGTGAACAATTGAGCGAATTTGGACATATATAAAATTTTATTTGGACAAATTTGGACATATATGTTCATATGTACATGTCCAAATGAAATTTTATTGGACATAGTCTAAATGCCAACACTGCGAGTGAGGTGAGTGACCCGGGTGAAACTATGGTTACCCATGTGAGTGACTCTTTAACTGACTCGGGTGAAGCCATGATTACCCTGGTGAGTGATTCTCTAATTGACTCGGGGTGGCTCATCGAGTAACACGGGAGGAGATTTTTTAGGTGGATCCAAACGCTATTATGCAATATTTTGTTGATGATATACAGTACTGTACATGCGATAGTAATCTATTGCTGGGCGGCATATGATAAATAACCAATTTTGGACTGATACTGAGGTGAAACTGATAACGATAAAGATAATATGTAAATACATTACACAGCCTCTTTATATACAATTAGGCATAGGTTGGGAATGTCGAAAATATGAATGATTTCTTCTCAATAGGACAAAGTCTATCTAACAGAGCTATTTTTGTGACTAAGACTGTTCAATTAACACGTGGCATACATTACGTCAAGCAGTATCCTGGAGAATTATTAAGATCACGATAAATTTTTTGTCACTATCTTTTTTCTTCGATATCAATTTTTAATTTTATTTTTTTGATAATTAGATTTTGGTTTATCTTCGAAAAATTATATTTCCAAGGGCTTTGTACAAGGTACTGTACATACGTGCATGATTCAGTACTGGTACTGTATTTATCAAATAATTATTCTTTTGGTACTTCCCCCCTTGTATTTATCATCTCAAATCAGTATTCGAAGGGGTTAAGACCATGGTAAGGGGAACGTTGAATTTCATGTGAACATCTTTTTATTTATACATAAAAGGAAGCTTTATAGACGATTGTCGACATAAAAGTTTGCATTTACCAGCAGTGCTGAAAATTCGTTGTGCAGTTGTGCATGTACTGTTTTTTTGCACAAAAATTAACAATTACTGTGGTATAAAAAAATTTTCTAATTTTCAACACTGTTTACCAGTCTTGGCGAGGTACTGTCCTGTCGAAGGGTGCTGAAACTTGGGATTTCTATTTAAATATATATATATGCATATATTTATATATGCTTTAACAACTCTAAAAAAAATGCACGCCAAAAATTTTTAAAGTTTCAAACTAAAATAGTCAAATTTTTAACATAAAACAATTGCCGATTTTAGCATGTATATACATCTAGCATTGTCTCCACAATGATTTCGATAAGATAAATAATAAATAGATTATCTAATAAGAAGGCTTTTAATTATAAATAATTTTAACAATCTCCAATCCATGGGACCATGTGGTTATTTTTAAAGGGAGCAATGTTTTTTTTGTACCAATTAAATTTAAATTCTAATAACGTGCTTTACCATTCAAGTTTTTTTTACAAGTCCCAAACAACTTCTGACTAGCACTATCCGAATATAACTCTATTGCTGATTAACAAAATTTACGTCCTCTGATTGGTTATCTTTTTTTGGGGGGCTTTGCTCACACAAATAATTGCGCGAGATGATGAGTAACGCTTCGTTGATTATTCTGTGTCTATTCCAATTTTACAGTTGAAATTGTTAAATTAAAAATTAAAATCAGGCGTAAAAATTTTTTTTCATATAACATAATCAGAATAAACAAAATTTAGGCTTAATCTGGGCCAGATTGACTAAATTTATCATGTCGTGAGAGTACAATGTCAATCACTTGAAAAAAATTTTCCCCAAAAAAGTTTGGGTGAAATGTAATACGAGCAAATGATAAATATTTGATCAAATCTATTCAATTTAAAAAATTTGACATTGATGTTGAAAATTAAATATAACTGACATTGATTCGAAAATTAAACTTAACTGACATTAATATCGTAACTGATATTGATATCGAAAATTAA